CCAAAGGTCAAAAGTCGCTCGCATGACCCCTGAGGCGACCTCCCAGATCTTCATATAGTATTAAAAAAAAACGAAACGAAATATAAATCGGTATTTTAATCAGATTGTTAAATTTGGGACAAGACGATAACAGTACCTTCTCTTTAAGCCACTGCAATGACGTTTTAAGCCACTGCAATGACGCTTTAAGCCACTGCAATGACGTTTTAAGCTCTCATCGTAGAGCTGCCAGTGGTGTTTTACCCACATTATATGTGACTGACAGGCAGACGAACGACGGGACACAAAATACAAGAAATGTATGCAAAATGAAGAAATTAATATTAAAACGTATGCACTATGAAATGAAATGAGGTTTAACGTCCTGCTGTTCTGCGAATTAGTGTGCTATGGGGGACATTTTGCCCAGGCAGCCGCACTATGGCCTACTCTTATATCGAATTCCAACAGCCATGGAAACTTTTACTTGCATGCCATTGTATACACGGAACCTCCGTTTTTCGTCCCATCCGAACGACTATACAGCTTTCCTTGTCAGGGTATACAATATGAATTAAGAGAAGACATGTTACAGGTTTAACCAAGTAATGTCACAGATACTGTGCAGTTACTGAGATGCTTAAAGGACAATATTGGTGTCAGTTATTATTACATAGAACTGCTTAAATACATTCCAAATATAATTTTAAAACAGAGATCATTGCTACGGGAGATGTGTAAAAAAACACTTGATTAAACGGGAAGTGACGACAAACATGACAAACACGGGTTGTCCTTCTATATAACTGACTGAAGCAACGAGCGATTATAGACACACAGGCGAATTTCATTTCACTGATTATTCCGTTGAAGATGGAAAGTTGTTATACGAAACGATAAGAGGATTTCTCACAATTCAAAAATAGAAAACTGTCACCAATATTGTCCTTTAAAGGGTAATATAAGAGATAATAGTCGACAGACAGTATTTCTTCCCATCAGTGACGAACATATTTCGACAGTTTATACAGTGCCCGATATGATCAGTTTTTCATATAGTGATATTTACCAGTGGTTGTATTTTAAATAAACCAATAATGAGACAGAATAAAAGACTCCGATCGCCCGCTCTTCTCCTATTTTAATAAGTCAACAATGAGGCTGATGTCCCCCGACGCCATCCCAAAATAACATAGATGGTACATATTAATTAAAGAGGCATTAGGTAAGATTAGATAAAGAACTGACAGTTCTCGCTATAATAGTTACAAAAAGGATCATGAAAACAAAATATGCTGGAAAATTTCAGTCAAATTGCTTTAATCTGAACAGAGATATCAACGATTTAATTTTAGGTCAGCCTCCATCGCCATTACTAACGTTGGTACGATAATAACAAAGTCTCGATTATCCAATTTTACTTTAAGTTATCCATCACAAAATGTGTTCAAATGCACTAAATATCGCAGGATAACGATGGCATCGACGGTTGATTATGGTCTGGATAAATTAATTAATGTCTAATTCATAATTTAGATAACAATAGGCAGATTTGGCTCTTGTATAATACATGTTGAATTGAACATGTATCTTTTAGAAAAGATTATCAAAACTGATTATCTATACTTATACTGATCGAACTCAGTCAAGGTTTTGAAGTGCAGACATTATCATCTTTGAACTCCACCAAGGCATTCGTCTAATAAACACCTACACCAAAGTCTCAGCCAATCAAATTGCTTATCGTTCTGCTTACACTGAGCACAAAATGCTAATTATCGAACTTAGTCAAGGTAATGGTGTAATAAAACTATACACCATGTTTCATCATTCTCGCTTAATTGGAACTAAAGTTATCGTGTCCCAAAGCATCAACCAATCAAATTGCTTATCTCTGATTAGGCTAAGCAGAAAATGCTCATCGTCGCACTCCGTCAAGGCATTCACCTAATAAACACCTACACCAACTTTGAACATTCTAGCTCGATTAGAGAGAGGGTTATTGTGTCCCAAAACGTGTGAGGGTTGGCTGGCCGATAGGGTCGCCTATCCAACCTCGTGGGTTTTCTCCGGGTCTTCCCCCCCCCCCCACTGCTAACGACCACTACGCGCAAGCGAATTATTGAAATACAATTGAACCATACGGCCATGACGTTAGTCCCGAAATGACCTAGTTTGTGACAAATGGACGTTAATCCTCTCTCTCTCTCTCTCGGGGGACAGCACCACTATTTAAAACACATTTACAGATTTGTAAATATCCACAATCATGGTGTAAGACTGTCATTGTTCCATTATATAAGCAACCCATAGAAACTATCGATTGATTTCTTTATTGTGTATTTTTATTGTGTGTAAACTGCTATTAAATGATACGAAGGGTTATCAGGTTATATGAAATATCTAACACGTGAAAGGGTTCCTTTCTATAAATTATGATAAAATCGTACAATTAATCCTGTATTACATTGTGACTAATAGAATGGAGTGAAAGGGAGATCTTTTCTTATAATGTTTCTCATGCCCTCACAACTTAAAGGGCGTGTGGCTTTATTCATCGAAACCTTAAACTCAAAGCAAATATTAATGTAATATGTACATATCAAAGTGATTTACATTTAGATTTTTTTTAAATATATATATTGCAATTTCTAATTAGTTATACATGAACAGTCCAAACTGAACGACAGTCGTTTTGTAATACAATATCATTTGGGATCTAAATTTTAATATTATATTCCGAATTCATATTTTATTTGTAACTCATTTTGGACATATATTAAGTGACGGATTAATTGTAATTCTAATCAAAAAGAGTTATGTATTGTATCACAGTTTTCGCTTTCTTGAGTCTACATGTTATTATTTTATCGTTTGTGAATCAGTCATTACTAATGACTTTAGGATTGTCTTGTCGGATATGTATTTCTTTGTTCATTACAAATGGCGCCCGAAGCATTAGAATACACGACTCGTGTATCCTTTATCAAATGTTCATTATGTCTAAAATATCGGATATTAGGACTCCGTTTTTTCATGCAAGATAAGAGCATCAATGTTGATTGAAATACTGAATTTGTGTTTTTAATTTCAGATATAATGCCAAAACCTTAGAGTCAAGGGGTAATTCTGATACGTTATTGTTGTCTGATTATATTATTGTTCACCTTATATTGTAAATGGGCTAGTCCTATAAAGTTCATCAGGATTTTCCGGCATGGTGCAGGACGGGGGGCCTGACAAGGGTAGCTGTCGATTCGTTCGGATGGGACGGAAAACCGAGGTCCCGTGCATAACATTAGCATAATGATTCCTTGGCAGTTGGAAATCGATAAAATAGTAGGCCATAGTGCCGCTGCCCGGGCAAAATTTCCCTCGTAGCAAATTGTATGGCGTATTCCCGTCTTCAATTGGATTCTTTCCAAATGTGAAGCACTGTGGACATGAGACGACGAACCCTCTTTTTATTCAGCGTTCCATGAACTTCCGAACAATAAATGTGATGGCAATAGACTAGGCTACAGTTTTGAACAGATTTATTCAAGCTTGTGAACACGAAAGAGATCAGATTCCTTGAAGGCTTAATGGGTCCTTATCAAAATCGAAGTTTTCCTATTGAATAAGCTGCTGTCGTGACATATTTCCGTATTTCCATACTTTGTGTGGTTATCTATCTTTGTATATACCAAGGGTCATAGTCTGTTGTACACATGGAGGGGACAGATTGTGTAATCTACTAAAATTTAAAGTTGAAGGGTCCAGTGAACTATCCTTTATTTCCAGGTTTAAAGTTATGGAAAAAACGAAATAAAATAGGAGACTAAACCAGCAAACCAGGAAAGTATATGGGGACAGATGTGACTATCAAATCAGGAACTCCCAGAAAACGACCCGTGATACTAGGATGGCACTTATCTAATCAGGACTTTCACACTGTGTATAAAACTATTTTCACTGATCAATTGGCACCGAAACACTTTGTTGGTTAACTATGTTTTTATATCTCTGTAACACCCAAAATACAACGGTTATATACAGGAAACTACACACACAGCTATGATATTAAATATATGCTAAACAGAAGTTTTCTACCCCTAGCTTGTGTTTTGCGCTGATGTTTCTCAGCCTCTCAGTCGAGGAGGCTGTGCGAGCGTCCTTCTGAAACTACGAAATGATGCCTAAAGAAACTTAAATCCCGCACGTTCTTTATAAATAGGATAGGTGCCAAAGTCATGTACTGACCCCCGGCAAAGAGGCCCGGTACACCGTTATCTGATTGGTCAGCTGCACAGAAGCTACCCTGAATTTCAACAGTGTGTACTTATATGGGCACCGAGGAGGGCGGGTGTCCACGTGTCTAATCCATTGATTAACAGCCTATGATGTCATTGCCCGACATATCCTTGTTAGCTAATTCTCGTTGTAACTGGTACTAGCTAAAGACTTCAATACATTAATCAGAGTATCTCCCAGAGAACTTAAAATAACCTCTACAGTATATAGGACCTATGGTACTACAGAAGAAAGAGGACCCAGATCATCATTTAGTAACAACTTAGAACTTGGAATCGTGTCTTTTAAGTATTAATCTTCATCAGACTCAAAAATTGTGGAGTTTTCTCCAAGAGATTAAATGTTTTATTAATACATATATATCAATTTGAATTAAGAGCAATTGAAACCCAGGTACCTTATCGCATTTGAAATAACAAATACACTCAATTTACAAAATAAAAAAACATGATTAGTTGAAGTTGATAAGAATATCTAAAGAGTATAATCATTTACAATATAAACTAATATAGTTATAATTATTGACAATGTATATAAAATTAGGTGTAATTAATATGATTATTACACGTTTTAATTAAGTATAATTATTGACAATGTATATAAAATTAGGTGTAATTAATATAATTATTATACGTTTCCTTTAGCTATAATATGTATATAAAATTAGATGTAACTAATATAATTACTACACGTTTTACTTATTTACAATGTATATAAAATTAGGTGTAATTAATATAATTATTATACGTTTCCTTTAGCTATAATATGTACATAAAATTAGATGTAACTAATATAATTACTACACGTTTTAATTAAGTATAATTATTTACAATGTATATAAAATTAGATGTAACTAATATAATTATTATACGTTTTAATTAGGTGAAATTAATATAATTATTATTCGTTTTGATTAGGTACATCTATAAATATGTGTTACAAATTAAACAGTTCTATTTAGTCATTCGGATATACATATATCCAAGGACGAATATTGGCGCCATGGTTTTCACATTCAAATATAGAAAATTTCATATATTTTTAAAGAAAAATAATAACCTGATATCGGCCATAACATATGGCAGGACATCTTCTTAATATCCATTTAGAGACAAAGCAACATTTTATGCATCTAATTATGAATCCATGGTATATATATAAATGATGGATTTCTGTAGATTTCTATACCGCTATACGACAAAATTTTAAAGGCAATTACTGGAAGTTTGAACATAAATAAGAGGTTTTTTTTATTTGTATCCGCTAAGCTCGAGTCTAAAGATTATTTGGCCTACTTGTTTGTTCTAATCTTCTAAGAAAAACAGATTAGCTGCTCAATTTTGTTTAATTTAAATAATGGACATTTGATTTGGTTGTCTGTCATGTTGTCTAATTCAACAACCTTCCTTAAATTTAAATATCTCTAATATCGTCATCATGTCCTAGGATCCGTTGTCCGGTGGTATCATTATGAAAACTGATTTAGTATAGCATCAACAGAGTGGTCCTGTAGACAAAGAATGCACTTATATCAGGAGTTAGTGTTTTGCCTTATGGACTTTGTTAGAACCTAAAGTTGTGTATGTATGCTGTGTGTTATCTGGTGTGAGATCTAATGTATCATACATATTTCTTGTATTGTCTTCTGTATTAAACGACTGGTTGACATAGTCTACATTACGTGTATTAGTTGGAATATTCTGATATCCAGTGGTTAACGTATCATCTGTTGTAGAAGTAGTCGGGTTTAAATCTGTATTACTGTAAACATAATCGGGATCATTTTCTGCTTTCGGCTGACTTGATTGACGTCTGAAATATATGTTAATGACACATTAGAGTGTAATAAAATGAAACCGGAAATAAACACCTGTGGTTATAATTGTTCTTCTGGTACAATAATAAATCATAATCACGTTTGAATAATTATATGTTATTAATATTAGGATGGACTAATTTGAAAATATGGATATGATTGTTCATATTGTACATAATAATGACATTAAGTAAATAAATTTTGATTAATCATATTATGTTATTAGGGTCAAGTAACATGGTTAAGGAACATATAATATACTATTAACTAATTATATATTATTAGGATCGCGTAACATTGTTAAGGAACATATAATATACGATTAACTGCTATTTACCAGTTAATTAAAATAATGACATCACAATAATATATGTGATAATTAGCTGAAATTACCTTTTCTTGTAGAAATGATATGATACACCAACAGCTACCGTGCCTACTATACCACACAGAACACCAATGATTCCACTTACAATAGGACTTATACTGGTACCTTCCACTATCTTTTCTGTTGATAGATAAAGTTATATTATCATTTATAAATGAATATGGTTTGGACATAATTTGAGCTGCGAGCACTTAGCTAATGACGGTTTTGATTGACAGCATCAGTCTGGTTTTAAAGTCAAACTGCATGGACGCGGGGACCCGTTAGATAAGAATGATCAAGAACAGAAAAGAAGGAACATATTATGATACCAGTCGGTGCAGCAAAGTAGGGCTATAAAATCCATTACATGTCATTTCTCATGAGTCTGCAATCCGTGCTTAACATCAGCAATGTAAATACCCGGATTGAAGTCACGTGTTTATAGATGTCCGTTTATATAGAATAGTAAAATTCAATATGAATTTCCTTCATAATACATAGTAATATAATAAAACACCCCCCCCCCCTCTTCTCCATACCTTCACATAAACATTATAGTATTCATTCCATTACCAAACAATGGTGTCACTGAATATTCAACAACTAAAATACATGTATTCATTTGGATCTGGCTTATCCAGTAATATTAGCCCAATTTCAAATCAAAGGACATCTTGTATTGTGGTGAAACATCATAAAGTGCAATCCGACACTGTATTATATGGCTGGACTATATGACGTCATTCAATTAAAGAGTTTTTTTATATCATTAAACAAAAATGAAATTGCATGTAGATTTATAATGTGTATTACGAAATTGTAGAAAAACATTAAACGTAACACAAAACCATGTTCACCAAATTTATCGTGTAATTATTTTATAGATTTTACTTATACCAATAAAGTCGGTATATTAAGTGAAACTAAAATGTGTTGTAAACAGTTACCTGCTGAACAATTACATCCTGTTTTATCAGGTAAACTTCCATCTATACAATCTCCTGACTTCTGGTCACATAAACCATCTTTACAGTTAGACGGACAATCTTTATTACAGTCTATACTATATAATCCTGTTTTACATCCATCAGTACATAATCCACTTGTTATATCACATTTACCAACAGTTTTACCAACAACTGGTTTACAGTTAGTATTACATAGTTTACTACATGGCGATCCCCATCTTCCATCTTTACATTCAGTACAAGAGTTGGCATTATCCTGATTACAAACTGTACAATTATTATTACAGTTGACATCACATCTGTCTCCAGTTTTCCCTTTAATACAAGATGTACATTTACCACCATCTCTATTACATCCACCATCACATCCTGTACTACAGTTTATATCACATCCATTACCATATCTTCCTATAATACAAGTAGTGCATCTACCAGTTCTATCACATCCACCATCACACCCTGTACTACAGTTCTTATCACATCTATCGCCATGTCTTCCTACAATACAGTTAGTACATCTACCATTTCTATCACATGTGGTGAGGTTTGTTGTTGGTTGACACCCTGTACCACAAGTAATGTTACAGTATGAACCAGCTGTATCAGGTTTACAGTCAGTACATCTACCATCCATCTTACCACACCCTCCGACACAATTATCAGGACACTGAGATTCACAGTTTGTACCATACCAGCCTTGGTTACATTCAATACATGATGAACCGTCTTGTTGGCATGATCTACAGTTACCTGGACATGATGTTTGACAGTAAGAACCTTTATAACCACCAACACAACCATCTGTACATTGTGGTTGTGAAAATGAAGGATTGGTATAACATCTACTGTTTGTACATTTATCACTACACGGTGATGTACATTTATCATCATAATAACCATCTTTACATCCATCAGTACAAACACCAGTAGTGGCATCACATGTATTATTAAGACATTTATCACAAGGTTGGCATGTAGAACTTGATGTACTGTAGTAACCAGTATTACATTGTACTGTAATAATAATAATTATTATTATTATTATTATTATTATTATTATAATATGCATTACAAGGCTGACATGTATAACGGGATGTACTGTAGTATTCATCATTATATTGTACTGTAATTAGATGATAACTTGCAATTATCTTATCATTATTTATCGGTCTATTTATACTACTCCTGGCCAACTTGTTTTCTATTTAGTTAAATATGGTGCGGTTCTCCTATCGATTCTATTAGTAACAATCCCGTGGATATGTGTTAAAAGGGCTAAACATCTAACTCATAAAATGCCATAATATTCAAAGTCACAAAAATGAATTAGAATTCAATACTGATACATTTCAATCAATATTGACACCAACTATAATTGATTAGAAATTACAATAAATGTTTTAAAAATTGTAACTCATATTTGAAATTGACTCTAAACGACAAACCAATACAGTAAATTGGCAATTGGTAAATAATAATAAAAACACAAATGAGCTATCAATCAAAGACATGTATTAAATTTACTCAATTGGTATTTCAATATTATTGAAGTGTAATTTGGTTCGAATATATACATGTTAAAACAAGCATGCTAATATATATATATCAAAAATGAAAATGCAAAGAACGATTGTAAATTAAAGGTGTTCTGAATATATACGAAAATGTGAGTGTATATAAAATTATTTAAACCCTTTTTTAAACATTGTTATTGTAATGTATAATTAATTACGCCCGATTAGTCCATTCTACACGGGATTCTTTTATTTATTATTTTGTCGTCCGTGAATCAGCCATTTGTAATTATTACTGTGTTGTCTTTTGGGTTGTTTTCCTTTTTTCATTACAAATTGCACACGAAAAATTATATCCGTATAATACACGACTCGTGTACTGAGTTTAAAATGTTCACTGTGTCCTAATAGTTGATAAGTTAAAAGCATCAATATTCATTTAAATGGACTGAAATTGAATTTTAATACGTGTTTTCAATTTCGAATATTATGGATACTATTGAGGTTTAGCTCTTTTAATTAATCACGGAATCATATTTACATTTGCGAAAATATTCAAGGAACCTCAAGTAATGTTGCTTTTGAAGTAGTTTTAATCTTTTATGTGTTTCCACAGGAGCCTTTTTTAAATTTCATTGGCACTTTTCTTTGAATTGAGACACTTGACCTTGGTGCTAATATTACAGTAACGTTAACCAGCATTAAAATATAAAACACTGCCATAAACTTGGTTTAGTCTGAGCACTGGATTTAAAAAAAACCAGCATGTCGACACGACTATGGCAGTGATTTGGAACATCAATAGTCAGTATCTTTACTTACATTGAACAAAACTAATGAATGAAAGAGTTCTATGTACAGTAGTCTGGACGATTAACATAGATAACAATGATCGAGACATCGACCGAAGATAAATGAGAAAATGACGGTGTGAAATCAATAGAAGGAATGTATGAACTTTGGATGAGAAGAATAATGACGGTGTCAAATCAATGAAAGGCATGTATGAAGTTTGGATGGAAATAATAATGTTTTTGTTTATGAATAACTGGGAGGGGTAGGGGTAGATAAGACTACTGCTTATTGTGTATGATGGCCTAAAGGTCTTTAATTACTGTAATGTTGGGTCCTTACAAGGTGAAATCTATCGGGAGGCCCTGGCAATGCGCTGAGACTAACCTTATAGTGTGTTAGTAGGACGTGATTTACAAATTCACGTGTTCACAAATCTCTAAGTGTTATTAGTTATTGATAAAGGATCCCAGGATTTAAAATACCACATCGATGTTCCACACAATTTAGCTCTTTTACAGTCTTTTGTATGGTTAACCCATTCTTTTATATTAATATGTTACTAGCAGGCTACCCGGCTTCGCTCGGGGGTCATAACTCCGAAACCGGAAGTGGTAGACTAACGCCACCTGGCCTATGTTACTCCCAGGTCCGAGCTACCCCTATACCCCAAATTTCAGACTTGGGGCAGACCTACTGTAGCCGCCAACCCCGAACAGACCGGCTTCGCTCGGGGGTCATAACTCCGAAACCGGAAGTGGTAGACTAACGCCACCTGGCCTATGTTACTCCCCGGTCCGAGCTACCCCTATACCCCAAATTTCAGACTCGGGGCAGACCTAGTGTAGCCGCCAACCCCGAACAGACAGACAGACAGACAGACAGACAAACGACAGTCTCAAATATATATATAGATATGTTGTATTATACTAGTAAATATAGTAGATGATGTTACATGTTGTATTTAACCAGTAAATATTGTTGATGATGTTATATGTTGTATTATGCCAGTAAATATTGTAGATGATGTTATATATCATATCTTGCAAGAAAATATTGTAGATGATGTTATAAGTTGTATTTTACCAGTACATGACGTTATATGTTGTATTATCATATCTTACCAGTAAATATTTGAACTTCACACAGCGAAACCACCTCATCATTATTAACCCTGACAAAAACAGTTCTAGCTGATAAAGATTGTTGTTGATTACATCTATCTATTGTATATATATCTTGTGTTGTTGGTGGTGTATCTTTATAACATGATGTAGCTGATATAAATCCTGACTCATTACACTGACCAACAGAACTTATCTTTAACTCAAACCCACTCAATCTTCCTTGAACTGTAAAATATAAAATATTCGCTATAACCTCTGTTACCCTCTTTCAAACCATAACCATTGTTAAATATGTTAAATAGTATGTTATATAACAATTTATATTATTGCAATACCTTGTACATGTTAGACAACATAACGAATTGATCGTATATTTGAGCGTCAAAGGAACATGAAGTTTGGAAATTTTTTAGAATCATTTTATGGCTGTGGAGGACTAGTTTATATGATCGTTTCAGTAAGAGAGCGGGTTTGGACACTTATCCTGCTTCGTGTTATTCCAGCATGAACTTTAAAAAAATATGTAACTGGGAATGATAAAAACTAGGTTGTTTAAAACAAAACTATAATTGTCATTTCTTTACTAATGGGGACTTCCAGAAGAGACTAATGCAGTAATCCGTTATGTTTGTTTCCAATTCATATGGTACATATAAATTGTATAATATAATGATACAAAGTTATTCAATAATTCCTAATAAAACTGACTGGATACAAGAACAAAGTAATGTGTTACAGAGAAAGGGAGAGAGAGAGAGAGAGAGAAATGGGGTTTAACGTCCACTCGACACAAACTAGGTCATTTCGGGACTAACCTATGGTTTAATTTTATTTACATAATTCGCTTGCGCGTAGGGGTTTTTAGCCATAGGAGGAAACCGGAGGCCCCAGAGAAAACCCACGAGGTTGGACAGGCGACCCTACCCTTTGCCATGTACAACCGGGGATTCGAAACCACGCCAGTCGACTCAATGACAGACTTCATGATACAGCGCGCGCACGCAAACCATTCAGCCATCCAACCCCCCTTACAGAGAAAGGACTCGCAAGCCAAATCCTCACTCAATCACCAGAATTCCACTCTGCACCGACACGACAAACACGTTGCACCATTACAGGGATCATTTTAGTGACCTTTTACGACACGCAGGAAATACGAAGGATATATTCATATCACCCATTACATCCCAGGGAACACAATATTGTTTCACGGAACAAGATCTGCAACATGCCTTTTGTTAAAAGTAAATATTGTATAACAATCATGGACTGTAGTTACGTTCTTTCTAAGTGATATTTGACATCAGATATGTAATCTTGTGACTTGATTTGATGTACATGTACACTTACATTGATCTCTATTAAATAGTTTGATTCTGTCAATATTATAAATCTGTTGTAAATCAACACACCACCAGTCAATACCATTGTTATTGTTTGTATGTGTACAGTGACCATTCCCCCAGTCATTATCAGTATTACCATCTACAGCATTACTTGAAAATGATGATCCATAAAGAAATGTTGAACTCTGTCCTGTTGGTTTGTCAAGGGCAATGTTTGTGTCTGTAAAATACACCATATAATAAATAAATACAACATGCAAATACAACACACCACCAGTCACCACCAGCATTGTTTGTAAGTGTACTTATTATCAATATTACCATCTACAGCAGAGTGTGTCCTATCTAATTTGATTCATCGCTGGAATCACAATTATATTATATAATGATAACCTGAGCCTCCTAGATGTGATTTAAAAACAATACTTATATTCTTATAAGTAAAATTAAAATACATGAATGGGGGTTTAACGTTCTACTACACCAACTGGGCTAATGAAGAGGGGGGGGGGGGGGTAGGGATTTTGCTATGGGGGTAAATTTTTCCAGATACCGACGTTTCTATGTACACGGCATTTTATTTTTTCGTTCCTTGTCAGGCTCTCCCGTCCTGTATCGTGCTAAACAGAACTGTAGTGGTGATTGATTCATTGCTTAATTTGGCTTCAAAAGTTATATCAACTATTATATAAACATGAATTCACATGCCAAGCCTATAATCAACTCTCTAGTGCATCGGGTGGTGGAGATTTAGATGGATTAAAACCAGGTCGCCATTTAATGAAATATGACTTCAAAATGGCGACGCGAGCCTAAGTCTCGAATAACAAGTCTCGTTGTTATGATAATAAACAATATATGCCACAATATAAAATTCAAACGGTGATAATGTCGCTCGAAATAAAGTGATTTTCTATTTTTGAACTATTATTATGGACTAAATCTTACATAGAGAATCTTTAAAGAAAGAGGGGGGTTGAATGGCCGAATGGTTAGCACGTGCGTGCTGTAACATAAAGCCTGCCATTGAGTCAACTGGCATGGTTTCGAATTTATTGAAATAAAATTAAAACCATATGTTAGTCCCGAAATGACCTAGTTTGTGTCGAGTGGACGTTAAACCCCATTAAACTGTATTTTTAAGAAAAAAAATAATACCTGTACAAACACCACATGACCTCATACAGTTCTGTCTATTTACGTCATCTATAGGATATACAGTATTATCACATGATTGACAGTTGCTGTTGATTGTATCTCTACACACATCTAATGCTGTTAAACAAAAGTGTGAATAAATTATGTCATTGTTTAGGTATGGTTGACAGTATTGATATCTTTAGATATAACTCTAGATTTATTTTCAATTATTAACTTGTACTTTGATAAGATTTACATCAAACTTATATAAATTATGGTTATTAACTTGGACTTTGATAAGATTTATATCAAACTATTATAAAGTATATCTTAATGAATAAGTTCAATATGATGCTATACATATACTTACCTAATATAGTGATGTTATACATATACTTACCTAATATAGTGATACTATACATATACTTACCTAATATACTGATGTTATACATATACTTACCTAATATAGTGATACTATACATATACTTACCTAATATAGTGATGCTATACATATACTTACCTATATTGTGTTGCTATATACATATACTTACCTTATATAGTGATGCTATATACATATACTTATCTAATATAGTGATGCTATATACTTACCTAATATAGTAATGCTATACATATACTTACCTGATATAGTGTGTAGTACCGTTGATAGAATTATAACTTTGGACAAATGAGGGAAAATCATATTGCATCTTCAACCTAAGAAAAATAATAAATACGTTGAAATTGTGACGTCATATCAAAATCGAAACTGCAATCGATGCGCAATTGATCAAGGAACAAGCATGCCAAGTTTCATGTCGATCGTTCTTGATTTGGTTGAGTTACAGGGAAGCGATGGGTGACAATTGGACTCAGTCTATGATTAGTGATGAATAGTAAGATAATCCATTTATGACCAATCAACCCCGTCAGACGAGATTTTCTTATAATTCTACATTTTATTACATATCATGATAATTTATCGTTCATTAATTAAATCTGTTAGTTTATTTAGAAATGAAAGAAAGAGAGAGACTATGTCATTTTGGGACTGTTGTACAATCTATCTGAAAATAAAAACAAATGACTCCAGAAACTTCAAAATAAAGCAGCCCAGAGCATAACCAAGACTAAACCAAATGAACAGATGACACCAATACTGTCTAATACGTATTCTGCTCTAAATGACGATACTCAATACCTTAGAGACCCTCTCAACACCAATAAACCTTGCAGAACCCTTCGATCACGACCAGACAACCTCTTAATTAAACTGTTTTTCAAAACCCAACTCCGGTGATAGATCTTTCGCAGTCAATATCAAACGAAACCAAAAGCGTAAATTCTATTAAAGGTTTTAAAAAGTATCCCAAAACCGAACTTTTTAATCAAATATACAACTGATTGAATACGGTTCTAGCTGTGTTTGTGTCAGACTTTTACCATGTGTACTAAATAATGTTCTCCGTTTTTTGTTTATGCCTTTTTTATGGATTAATGTGATGTGATTGTTGTAATTTTATATAGGTTGTACTTATGTAAAGCGCCCGAGAGCAACTCGCTAAGTTGAATTGTTGGCGCTATATAAATCAAATATTATTACCACAATTATTGTTGTACGTGACAAAAAGTAGGGTCGACAGTCCAACCTCGGGGGTTTTCTCCGGGTCCTCCGTTTTCCTCCCACTGCTAAAGAACCCCTACGCGCAACGAATTATTGAAATAAAGTTGAACCATTTAATCCCGAAATGACCACATCTCTCTAATTTAACCCACTGTTACAGAATAAAAACTTTACTTAAATATACATTTTCTAAGATTTAGGTTAAGAGCTAGCCATTCTTGCTATATAAGTTCGAAAATAGATAACGCAAAATGAATAATTTGAAAATTTCATTCAAATTACTCTATTGCGAGCGAAGATATTAGCCTTTGAAGGTTTGACAAGAGGTGTACAATAATTTTAACCACCGTACTGGTTGTTCGAAGCTAAGTCTCGCTCCTTCATGTTTAGCTTAAATCAAGCTAATATATTTAATATCTGAGAAATTCAATGCCATTGAGAGTTTATTATGGCCTGGATAAGTTAATTAATGTCTAATTAATAATTTAGAAAACATTTCAGGCCTAAAGAAAGACTTTCAGTAGGAAGATTTAGCTCTTGCATAATGTATGTTTAACCAAATAGAAGCCTTTAAGACACAAATATAAAATAACTTTGAATGTGACTTGCATACTTCACAACTTAGATGCACGCCGCTCCAGTGATCTTAAACATGCCGCTTTGATTTCAATAGGTGAACAAGAATATAGACTCAAATACTATACCTGTCTTCTCTAATATTATAAATTATACATGTTCGGACACATAAAACTAAATAGGATATCAAGGAAATTACTGAGCATTGTGTAAGTCTGTGAGAAACTCCCACAATTGATCTAAATTTTAAATCTGTAGGGTTTTCTATATATATAAATTAGAGCTGATCTGTTATTCTTTATTTCAATCTATATTTGTGTGCCTTTATGTACTTTGGTAACCCATAAAAAATATACCGTTCTTGGCTCATAGTTATTCAAATAATATTGTTCTTTTTCGCTAAGACATGTACTTTGACTTTCGATAAATTTAGATATCAATTTCTTTAATTGACTAAATAGGATTTCTTAGTAATTTTAAATAACTGGTAGGTGACCCTCGAACCTGGGGGAAAAATTCGAAACAAATATTTTTTTTGTTTTTTTTTTGTTTTTTGTAGGAGGTATGAATAGGAAAACAAATCCACCGCAATCTACCTTGGGCAATTGTTTTTTTTACGACCGATTGAGTTTTGATATCGGATCTCAATATGAATGATGCTTGTAACAATGCATATTTAAGTTATTCTCAACTTTACGCAACCAAACTGAACAACATAATTTTTAATATATTTATTATATAATTTTGAGTTCGGCTACTCGGTGCCACCGTTTAAAGACCAAAAGACGTCTCGAGTCTATTGTTACAAGATAGTCCTTCGTATCCACTACACGCAGAAACACATTTTAATCCGTTTTTTACGACCCGGCGTTACTACTACAACTAAGTCTACAGGTACATCTTATGAACTTTAGAATGTTATCATTTGCCACAGCGATGTTGGTCATAACTGGACTGAAAAACTTTCCCTTAATTGGACATCCCAATGTTGAGAATCTAGATATGAATGGTCAAGTTTATCCCATAAAATAATTTGAAAGTGGACACGTAACGAATGATAGTATGCTGCCCTCTCAGTCGGTGGTAATCCTTCAGGTTCAATCTTTTGGGAATCGGTACCATCACTTGGTATTTGTTATAGCGAAGACTTACACAGGCGTACGGACTCGATGGAAGTTGGGTAGGGGGTGGCAGAACCTGAAATGCAGACGACGGTGCCGTGTAGGACCCCCCACCCCGAAATAAAAAGAAGAAAATTTGGAAAGATTGACGGCCGCAAACGCGTTTTCCTGGTGCGAATCGTGATAGCGGGAGACTATCCTTTTTCTATATAACTATTGTAATACCTCACTGATTTGCACGAATAAAATGAATAGACAGACCTTTTATGTTCCTTAACGCCGTCACATGTGTAAAAATGAAATAGATATTTAAGTAACGTCCTTGTTGAATAAGTATGCCAATAACAATATATAATATAAAGAAGACGATGTGTGAAATTGTATACGTATGTATAATATCAACGATAAATAAATTCATTTTTTATACATTTGGATTATGACGTGACTTTTAAATGTTTTGATGGCCAAAAGCCTTTTTATGAAGGGTGTTTCACGTATCACCAGTGTCCTCTTACCAAGATTTCTAGAAATATCAGATAAATTTATGTATAAAATAGTCCCGTGATGCAAAGGCGTACGAGCTCGATAAATATTTGAATACCTGCAGCAAACGCGTTTTCATGCTATTCCAGTCCGTGAATACAACAACTTCAATGTAGTCCAAAGACTAATTTGAATCCCAAACAACCAGACAATCGTTGGGGTGTATGGTGAACTCGCGCTCCCCAAGAATATTTTGAAAATTTAACCTCCGCAAATGCGTTCTTCTGCAACTCTAGCCCGTGAATTAAGCAACTTCAAAGTTTCTAATCGGTTTGCAAACGAAACCCCACTCTATGCCGACCTGAATTCCAACCATCTAATCAGACTGTTGCAGCTGCATTCACAAATAATAATCGATGCCCGAAAAATGTCGCACAATGTGGAGTGGCTCCAGACGAAATGCTTTAATCCATAGTCAATTCAGTATAAATTCGTGGTATTCAATTAAAAGAAAAGTAAAATTAGCGTTTTATTAGATTCCTGACACTATATTTTGCCATCTAGATGAAATAATACTTTTTGTTTTCACTTTACCCGTCTGCCCGAAGTCAGATTGTCCGAAAGTTAGAGAAGCAGCCTAAGCTCATTAAATAAAAGTGGGCCTAAGCCTATAAAGAAAAAAGAAAAAAGAAAAAGAAAAAAGAAAAGAGAAAGATAGGAGAGGGGGAGGAAAGAAAAGAAAGAAGGAAGGAGAGGACAGGACAGGACACAGGACAGGAGAAAGAAAAGATAGGAAACATGACTGACAAACAACACAAAAAAAGAAGTGTACTACAGGGAAAGAACTTTATGAGTTTGACCTCATTATACCGAGAACCATGTAATTCATCTTTTAACCCCTATTTAGTTCAGGAAATCCAAACTTTTCCTTCTTCTGAAATGCTTGGAAAATGGGTTTGCAGTTGTCAATTTTCAAAATTTTCAGGCGGGGGGGGGGGGAACCCCCCAGACCCCCTCGGACGCTCGCACGCCTTCGGCGCGCTCGTGACACGCCTTCGGCGCATACTAGAGTGGGCCTTGGTCAATGACTTGACAGGTGGTCCTTCGGCCAACCAATCCGGCACTGGTAAATAGTACAAAATAGTCCTGGCTCCCCGATGTTCCTTCTGGACGTAAATTTCAGCTATATGAGGATCCCAGTGATAAAACAGAACAACGGGTATATCAGTGTCCTCTGCTACCACACACACCTTCATTTCTTCACTTAATCGTAACAGTTCACCGGTTGTACGTGACACGGAGTAGGGTTGCCTGTAAAAACCTCGTGGGTTTTTTCCAGGTCCTCCGATTTCCTCTTTGTTATGATAGATATTTATACTGGGTGCCATTTTGTCACTTCTGCGCTTATGTTTGTGTTTTTTTTTACAGAATTAACAGCGTGGTCATCAAAAACAAGCATTACCATATTTCGGATACATGAATTTGTTGTAACTCTCAACGAGATCTTGGTAGGAATCGTTTTTCCACCGCATTTGATGAAGGAGCCAGACACCATCTACAACAAATATGCAGTTTTTTCTGAATAGTTTATCGTTAAATATGTTTTCGAGGTCTTTTTCCATGTATTTAGCTAAATCGGACTTCACAGACTTGCGCATAAAACCGCCCTAGAAGAAACTGGTCGGAATGGGATTCATTTCATGGGCGAAGAATCGAAAAGCATCCACATTGTGTCGTTCGGCAAGGATTGTACAGCGTAAGAACATAACAGTTGGATTAACATGGACTGACTGTCATCTTCAAATGAATACTTTTCCACACTTCTTCAGCTGCATCACAATTTATTTTGTCTCTTTCTGTCGCCACTATGCCGGGTGATATACAACGCAATTCAACTGTCCCAGCGTGAAACA